ATATGCTATTCTCCTTTGGTGATGAGTTAAGGCAAATGATAATCTTATGCTTAAAGATATAGTTACATCGCACAATGTTTGGGGAAGGTGAATTCATCCTGAGAATATGTGGATGTAATAAGATACAGGCCATGGTCGATTACCCCTTATATTAAGAATGTGTGTACATAGCAGACGATGTGAGTATATATACGTAAGGGTCTGAAGACAATAAATAAAGGCACGTCATATCCTCAAACGCCTAATTTGCGATCAGATTTAGAAGCTCTAAATGAAGAACTTAAATACGCTATAATTAAATCCCAAAGATTGAATTCTCAAAGCTTTTATTATTTTACCTCCATAAGACGCTTTAATATTCTTATAATTTGCGATAAAACATGTCTAGGCTATGGCCCGGGGACAAGCTAAGATAACTTAGATTTTCCTTTCGAGCACTCATAAAAAGTTAGCGCAAAACAAACTACGAAAGGAAAGGAAGGATAGAAACTCTAAATTTACAACAAATGAATGTAAGTAAATACGAAAGTAGTTAGAATAAAATAAAAATCATAAAATTTATAAATAAAGATAAATTTAAAGAAAAAGATATGTATAAACGAAGACAGTAATGAATAAGGTATTGATTAGCAAATATGCACAATAACAATGGGTTAAGGCATTATGAAGGAACCCTAAAGAAAAGATAAAAATGGATATAAACCATTTTTAACCAATCATTCGTAACACTGACCTAGGGGCTAGCATATTAAAGCAGATGGACTAAACATATTTGAGTAGAAATATAAAAAGATAAAGTTAAAATTTTAGAGTAAAATATATTTACAATTTACATGAAAACATAGCTATCTTGGTTTTTTTGATGAAGAAAACCCACCAAACCCCATGACAAAACTAAGCTCCTCATCTTTTTCAATATCAACTTCGTCTGATTTTCGTTTACGTTCTTTCTTCTTTTCACGTCTATAGGCTTTAGTTTTTTCCTCCTCTTCTGCAATTTGCCTAAGTCTTTCTTCTAGGCTATATTCGTCAACTTTTTCTTCCCTTCTTCTATTATGTAGGGAAAAACTAGCAGCTAGGGATATAGAAAACAAACCGATCCTTGACTTCCTCGAGAGTAGACCTTTTAACGCGCATAGACATGCCTAAATTTCTCTGATGCTTCTTCCCATTTATATGGTCCAGATAATTAATAGAATCTTTGACAACACAATCACACACTTCACAATAATAACCGGCCTGTGAGCTTCCTGGACCAGTCTTAGAAATAACTTGAGACCTGTTAACATTGGATTCTAAATCAACCTAAGGCATACGTCAGAATAAATAGAATACCGAAAAGTCTCGTGGACGGAGGAAATCTCTTTTAACCACCTCTCTTTCCTTTCGAGAATTACGCAAGGCTTCGATTTCAGAACTAAACCGCTCATCTGCAATCTTTTCATAATAATTTCTATCCCATTTTCTTCTATGATCTACTGGATTCTATATAATAAAGGAAACAGAAAAAGGTACAGATCCGGCCATTTAAATGATTAACAAATGAAACAGTAGCGAATTGGCCAAAAGGCCCGCGACGGTCAATATAACGATTAATGTGATATATCTATTTGTCAAACTTGGCTTATTTACTATTAAAAAATATTAATAAAATACTTACATATTCATTGTTATTGGTTATTTGAACAAAATGTCAATCCTTAGGCCGTCAAAAAGGCCTAAAATCAATTTAATTAATATTAATACTATTTCCATCTGTAATAAATTTAGTTTTAACACTATTATAAGAGGATATTCAAAATTCAATGTGCATTTAATAATATTAAATAGCATTAAAAAATATGAAACATAAATTCTATATCTGCTTTCAATTTAACGTTGTATAATACGAGTAAAATTTAGAAAATTAAACTTATAATATAAGTAGACTTTTATTTTAGTAAAGTAGCCATATGTGGCAACAAAAACAATTAAATATATTTTAACAAGAATTGGATGCATTATCTATTAAATATTATTGTTAAACGAATTTTACCCTTTAGAGGCAATCACGCCAATTATTTTGTCACTTAAGCCATTATTGATTATGTTTAAGGCCATTATTAACAGAGATGCATGACATTTGTTTCTAATATTATTCCTACTAAGAAAATTGTGCCTGATATTCAGTATGCAAACGAACATCTTATGAAACGCTATTGGGCTTTAAAATAATTTAATTATACAAAAGCTAGTATTTCACTTCCACATACGTCAACCCAACGAGCCTTTCCCGGACCTTGATACCACACTTCATCGTCCTGCACTATCAGAGCACCTTAGATACACGCCTTATAATCGTCGCTTTGATCTCCAATGAAAATAGAAACTTCGTTTTATTGACATCAGAATAATTAAACTTCAAATAAACTACGTAGTCGAAGATATAAAGAACAAGATGTTGCGGCCTTAAGTATGGCCGCAGTCTCCGTTCAATGCATAGAAGTGGTTTGACCTTGTTTTGCAACCTGACCGCATTGTCATAAACTCATCTTAACTGGAGCCTCTCTACTGAGCTTTAGTGTGGTGCTAAGAATGTTGAGGCGACTTGATGCCACCGACTACAACGCTTTGGAAACGTCTGAAAATGTACTAAATTCACAATCCAATGTTGAAAATTAGCATTGATATTATGGCCTCGCGTGAAGGGACGTTCCTCTAGGCCTAACTAACAATATGACTATGTAGGAAAACAAGGCCGAACCATTTTAAAATTAAGTAAAATGACCAAAGCATATAATAAGGAGACAGCCTTGTCGAGTTGAGCGTTCGCGCAACTTATATGGACATTCAAGTAACAGGGTAAATGATCTTACTTAGCGCACAAAAAGGCAAAATATATGTGCTTATTTAATTAGTCGGTGACCTAGATAATAATTCATCGAAATTTTGGTTCGTATCATCTTTCACCAACAGGTAATATAAATATAGAAGCCGTATTAAAAGTTAATCAGAGTAAAGTTACTAACAATGCCTAGTAAATAATCAGAGAATCTTATGTGGGATTACAAGAGTGATGCAAAAATAAGAAGTAACCAAAATTTACGATGGGTAAAGAGGCTTATATTGTCATTTTAAGAGCAAAAATATACATAAGATCGAATAATTCTCTAAGGATTTTTTAAAGAGTAGACAATTAGTCTCTATCTAAAGATAAGTTTTCATAAGTCAGGATAAAGCTTCACCATGCTCAGTTAACTAAAATTGAATTTGATCATCTTTACTGATCAAAATGATGGAATAACTAGGACTACTTTTCGCACACACGATTGCTAATGATGAAGAAGTCGTGCTACTACTTAAATAAGGTTTTGCTAAAGCTTTACTAGCAATGCTGAATTTCATTAAGCATCAAAGAATATATTTATTATGCATTAGGGAGAGCTAAGTTTGACATTCAAAAGAACCGAAAACGGAGTAAGCTTAATAAATTATTCCCGTTATGTAACCTTCGTCAATGGATATTTCCTTTGACTATAACAAGCATTAAACTCGTATAAAATGTTTTGGAGAGTTATAATTTTCTTAGTAAGCCGAACTGATGATTGCTAAAAAATTGCATAACCACGAAAGTTACAATGCCCTTAAAACAAATAAATTTGATAAAAAAATTATAAATTGCTTAATTTATAATCATAAGAGCTTTATGATACTCAGCAATTCAATGTTTTTATAACTTTTTACATAAAGCACTTTTTTAAATGACTCGAGATGGTATTTGCCTCTTCAAGACGAGAGGTCGTACGAATAAATACTAAGGTTTTTTATATTTTATGTTTTTAAGCTTTATTAGTTTTGCAAATCCGGTGGAGAGGTTGAGTATAAGAAGTTTTGTATAGACCCAGAAATTACCAGCTACAACGCCTTGATTGGGCTCATCGGCAAATGCTTTTCTATAGATGCGTAAGTTCACATTCATCGAGCACGGAGGGTTACCTTTGCAATTAAATTTGTCATAAGACTTTAATGTGGTTCAGTTTTACCAATTTGTTTCTTTGTTACGAAGAGATTGCAAACTGACTTTTCGCATACTACTAAACTCGGCGGAAATCTGTGTTATGTCTTTTTTAGACTTAGTCTTATTTAATTAATTCGATTTTTAACATATGCAGCCTGTGGAATTTAATTTCAATTTATTAAGTTTTGCATTTGAAATAAACTAATAAGCATCTTATTCTCCTATTTTCATTATTTCTTCCATCGATTCGGGATCATACATCCATCGTTCCTATTTTTATGCATATCTGTCAAATTTTCTCTTGACCACTGTAAATTTATATATCTTGGTTTGTTATAAGCTTTTTATTTAGTTTTTTTGCCTGATATTATGAACAGGTATTTGCTTCTCGGATGTGCCTATTTGTATCATCCCAAGTTGAGTTTTTGCCTTTGCAATTTTGGCCTCATCCTCGTTTTTTATTATTGATAGATTTACTGTTACATAAATGTAAAAGCATGTAATACTTCTCTTGGGTTTTTTTATTTCCACACGATTGAGTTCTCATCCCTCGTGACGCCACTTACTACATGTTTTCAATCTATTTTTACAATTTGAAATTTACTTAATGAATATTGAGTAATAACAATTTACCAAATGAGT